AATAGCAGGCTGCCACACATACATATATCTTGTAGTTACAAATATAATTGTACTAAGGAACCTGACAATCACTTCCTAGCTACATTCCAAAGACTCTGGGGCAAATGATTTAGTTCCCTTGCACCTTGTCTCCCTGTCAGTAAACTGGGAATAACAATACTTCCCTACCTAATAGGGATGTTGTAAGGATATATATGTTTTTCATGCCACTCTGATTGGGTCATACCTGTCTCCAGACTGATGGTGGCATGTTGTGTTGTTGTGTATGAGGTTTGATTAAATCAAAAATGAAACAAAGTCATGTGGCTTGAAGAATGTATTTTTCCCTGAGGGGACAGACCCATAGAGATAACCTGCAGTAGGGCTTGACACTCTAAGCCAAAAGGAAAAGAACTCCAGGAAGAAGTAAAAAGTGGAAGTTGAGAAATTCCTGCTCTACAATGCTGGCAGCAGAAACTTCTCATAACTGCACCATCAGCTTGGGCTGCTTGGAAAACAAAGCATACCTTTTGTGAAACTGCTTGCAAAAACCCATTATCATTTACAAAAGAAATAGAAATGTGACTGAAAGCATAAAGTTTAAAACCTGGTCTTGGCTTCATCAAAATCTTCAGCCCAAGAGCCTTCTCACTCCATGTGACATGTCGGTGAGCAGAGTGCTGGTTGTAACAGTGCATGGCTTGGAGTGAGCTGCTCCCCCCAAATATCTGTCCCCACTCCCTGCCTGCAGACAACCTCTGGCAATGGTGATCTGAGTTTAGCCACCTCAGCTATGTGATTAAATTTAAGTGGGATTCTGCACTTCTAATATTTAATGTAGTTAAACTGCATGACAGCACTTAATCCATTCGGTATTTCAACTTCATTGGGTTTTGTTTTTTAATTCTTGTGATTTCACCTTGATAGCTGGAACTGTGAACTCATCTGCATTATTATCTCATCCCATTAAGCATCTCACAAAACAGCAAGAACAAAGGAAAAAGGCAATTCTTAATCAGCCTTCTCTCTTAATCCTCAAACCGTTGTAGCAGAGATGGACATTTCCACATCAACAAAGGCATCTTAAATTCACCAGAAAGGTGAATGTTCCCATCCCTATTCTAGTCCACTTCACCTTTGTGGTTTGTATCTCAAAATCTGCCTGCGTTAAAGATGTTCATTTAGGTGCCTCTCTCTATGCTTACAACGTTTTGAAGATGATCCTTTATCTTGCTAGGCACAATCCAGCCTGTGTATATGTGTAACCATTTAGGTTAATAGTTTTGAACTGCTCGTTGCAGGCTTAATTATTTCCAATGTGCCGAGTAAATTGAGGTCTTATCTCACGTGTTGAAGTCTCTGCTATTGAACATGTCTGATGTTTTTGATAGTCACACAATGAAAGTCAAGCATGTACTCTCAGAATCATAGAATGGTTTGGGTTGGAAGAGGCCTTAAAGATCATCTGCCATGAGCAGGACATCTTTCACTAGACCAGGCTGCTACAAGCCCCATCCAACCTGATCCTGAGCACTGCCAGGGATGGGGCAGCCACAGCCTCTCTGGGCAACCTGTGCTGGAGTTTTACCATCCTCATTGTAAGAATCTTCTTCCTTATATCTAATTTAAACCTGCCCTCTGTCAGTTTAAAGCCATTCCCCCTTATCCTATCACTATACACCCTTGTAAATAGTCCCTCCCCAGCTTTCCTGTAGGCTTCATTTAGGTACTGGAAGGTGTTATAATGTCTACCTGTCCCTGTTTCCACCCTGCATAGGCTTCTCTTTGTGTTTGAGTTTGTCCAGGAGTGCCTTGTTCATCCATGCAGGCCTCCTGGTGCTTTTGTTTGACTTATTGTTGGGGTGCATCACTCCTGAGCTTGCTTGACTTATTGTTGGGGTGCATCATTCCTGAGCTTGGAGGAGGTGATCCTTGAATATCAACCAGCTTGCTTGGGCCCCTTTTCCATCCAGGGCTTTATCCCAGGCACTCTACCAAGCAGGTTCCTCAAGAGGCCAAAGTCTGCTCTTCTGAAGTCCTAGGTAGTGAGCTTGCTGTGGCCCTCCTTGCTGCCCTAAGGATCTCAAACTCCACCATTGCACGGTCCCTGCAGCTGAGGCTACCCTTGAACTTCACATTCCCCACCAGACCCTCCTTGTTGGTGAGAACAAGGTCCACATATCACCTCTCCTCATTGGCTCCTCTATCACTTGGAGAAAGAAATTATCCTCTGTTTATAGATGCCTCATCTGCTCGGTTTTCTTGGTCAGATGGCTTGGTCAGATTTCTTTCTGACAGCACTCAGACTGGGATACTCAGATATGACCAGTTATTCATTCAGCAGAGGAAGCTTTCGACAAAAAAAGTTTTACAAAGCTAAAAGCTTTTATACATCTGACTTGCTCACACTACTAGCCTGACTTCTGTAGCCCATGAAGGGTGGGACACATACATCTTTAATACAAGTTACCTGCACTGTTTTGAAAGACTGTTGTTAATTAAAAGATAAAGCTTTGCACTTTTAAGAAGACCTGTAATGTTTCTTTCCTATTTAATGCATCACAACTTGTATGCTTGTATTACTGCTGCCATTCAGCAGCTGACAATATTGCAGCTTCAGATAATTGTGGGACTTTTCATTCTTGGAGAAAGGATGGACAGAAAAGAGTGGGAAGCCAGCCAGCCTTCCTGGCATTCACCAGCCCTTAGCATTGTCTATAAATCAATGTTGGTTTTCAAAGTGCATCATTCTAGGCAGTAAGGTTTGAAATGGACAGGCTAAATACATGTAAGACTATACAAGAGCATTGGGAAAGACAGGAACAGCACCTAAATTGACCAAGTCCTGTCCTTGCCTTGCAGCTAAAATACTGTCCTTTTCAGCTAGCATGTTTCCTGTAATTTTGTTTCAAAATCATAAATTTAGAGTGGATTTTTCACAGGGATTGTTAACTTCATGTTACTAGGAATACCAGGGCCAGTAGGGATCATGTTAGCAAACCATCTTCTGCTTTCCTTGCTGTGAATGTATAAATGGAGCAGGAAGAGCTCTGTAGAAAATATTCCTGGGGCAGTCTACCCCAAAGACACAGTGGCATAAACCCACCATTGTCCATTTTTTTTTTGTTTCTGGGATACAGCAGAGGCAACTTGATTCAACCTGACAATGATTTTTATCTGCTAACAGGTAAGCCTCTGCTCCTGCACTTAGACTCAAGCTCCAAGAGAAGCTTCTGAGAGCTCTAGATGCCCCAAGAGCTCAGGAGCACTTGTAGTCCTGTTGTGGGGGAATCAAAGCCCAACCCCACTCACACCACTGGAGGAAATTTCTGTATTACAGAATTGGCCTTTAGCAAAAAGTGTTTAGTTGAACTGATTAATAAAAAAAGCACAGCCCCAATAGCAATAGCTATGGATGTGTTATTGTAGCTGGGTTGGCTGTTATATTTTAGTGTCTCTATTTCAGGGGATTACTTGTCTTTTTAATGCCCCAAAGGTGAATGCCTAAGGTAGACTCTTGCTGGCAACCATTTCATTCTGCGGTGTCCTTGGACTTAACTCAGGAGGATTGGGAATACTGATTGAAACTACAACTGAAACCCCACTGTTTTCCTAGGATATATATCAGCTCCTGGGGGGCAACGTGAAGGGTTGGCAGTGATTTTTAAAGCCCTGTGTATTGGGCATTACCTACCTGAAATGTGAACTATGATGCTGGATATATTATGCAGGCACCCAGAGAGTACCTTCCACTAGACAATGTGTGATACATTATCTCCTATGAAAGACAATTGGCTCTGAAACAATTCTTCTGTCAATCCCAAAGAGCAAAATATGCCCCCAATGAAGACATGGTAAAACTTTCTACTGTGGCTTTTGCCACAAAGTTTTGAATTTCAGGTCTCATAATGTGGTGCCTAAT